TTAAAGTTGCCAAGTTTGGGAACCACTGTGATAGAGGATAAAATGAAGTAGCATCATGACTTTATATACCCCACGGCAGCTATTTAGCTTGGAGGAAAAAAATTATACTCCTACTTAATTTTCAGATCTGCCCAATATGCTATAAAGTTGAAGATCCGAGTACTCATCACGGGACAAACCAGATCTAGCTAAAAAAAATTGGGATAACTGATGTCTGAATGCTTATTCAGTGCCCAGGATAGAGAGTACGGATATGGCTGGGCAAAAGTCTGGACTCCACTCCAAAAAAGATACTTGGAGGCACAAACTCTGCACCTGTGTGCAACCCTTCAAGTTACTGCATCTTCTTCTGGGATGGGTCAGAAAAAAAATATTCAAATTATAAAAGAAGAAGAGTACAGAGGCTCACTTAGCCTTGATGTGATGTCCTGGCTTTATAAATCATTACTAAGGAGATCATGAATTATCTGAGTTTTTTAAAACTCTGTAATATTCCTTAAATTTTGAAGGATCCTATGAATTATTGTTCTAACAAGAATTAAAAAATATATCTTATGATACCTCAAGGACGCCATATTTATTTTCATTCAGCTTTTATAAATCGCATGATGCTAAGTTCTTTATTACCATTTATTTTCTTTTGACCCCCGAAATAATTATTTTCAGGGAGGTCTTATTATTTTTGAGGTGAAGGAGGCGGCTGAGCGTGGTCACCTCATGGCTGCTGCTGTGTTGCAACATTTTCAGGGAGGGCTTATTTTCAGGGGAGGGCTTATTTTAGTGCATACGCTCAAAAGCCTGATGGGGCTTATTATCTGGGGAGGTCTTATTTTCAAGGGAACAGGGTAAAAGCACAACTAGAGGTGAATAATAGAATTAAAAAAGCAAAACGTAGCAGTTCCTGGCACTGATCACAACTTCAGTTACGTAGAAAAAATGCAGGATCAAGTAATATTTTCACATGAGAGCACCTTTCTTAACTAAGGGTTAGTAGCTATATTCTACCTTACGGGTTTCAAACTCAGTGTCCTCGAAGAAAATATTCATTAGCCAAAGGGCTGCAAAAATACCAACATCTCCAATGAGTGAAAAATGAAGAGAGAGTATGGTGGAATGCTATCGAATGCAAGTTTATTACGTTGAAAAAAGTCACTTGCCATAAACTGACTTTGCCAAACGGCTACTTGATTTTGGCCACTTAGCTTGCAGTGTTTCTCATTAACAAGACCACCAATATTTGGTTTTACAATTGTGTTGTGTTTATAATGTGGTATTTTGTGGCATCTAGACAATATAATCTAGGAAATTATAGATTCTAAAAGTGACCCAAACCTTGTTTCCCCCCCCCCCCTTCTCTCCTTCCCGAGCAGACGTATTTGCTCTTTTTTTTGCTTTTCTTCTTTTCTCTCTCTCCTTGACTCGTCAAGTCCTTCCTACTCCTGCTTAGTAAGGAGAACTTGAACGGCCATGCACTGTCATTCCTGCCCCTTGGCTGGCAATCAGCCCTGACCCATCTCTTCTGATGATCACTCCTTTCCCGCCCCTGGGGAAACCCAGGCTCCTGGCTTTCTCTCTTGGCCAAGGCTCACTTGACCTCTGCCTGTGCCTGGAGTTCCAGGTACCATTTCAGAAGCAGCAGGCGCTATAAATAATGGGCCCCAACTGCCTTGACCAACTGACCAGGTCTCATGGCTGCAAGTAAGACTATTCTCACTGGGTTAAGGTTATTGTTAGTCTGATGTCGCCATCCCATCTCACTCCTGGAGCCCGCTCTATGCCTTTTTGCATGGCAAGCATAGTGTTGGCTTTGCTGGGAAGAATTCTCAGCCCTTTACAAGGAATGGAGAATCTGAGGCTCCTGTTCTATACCACCGTATATAGACCATACCACTATTACATTTGATAACGTTTGACAACAAAGGACTTTTGTTATGAAAATGGCCACTGGGAAGTCTCAGAATTAGGTGTAACCATCACAAAGTTCCTTTCGGAGTCTTGTTTGAACAACAGAGAGCACTATAAATAAAATCCATTTTGGTGAGCTCCCTAATTGAATACACATCATTTCAGTGAAAGGAGGAGGTGGAAGGAGGCCGGCCTGCCTCTATCTATCTATCTATCTATCTATCTATCTATCTATCTATCTATCTATCTATCTATCTATC